GAATTTTTGTTGTGGATTTCCTAGGGTGTTCTGTTCTGTGTCAGACAGAGTATTCCACGCACTGTAAAATTTCTGCTGTATGACACAAGGGTGTTGTGTCAGTCCCCAAAGACTTGAAGGGCTAAAGGAGAAATACCAAAAGTGAAAATTTTGATGGTTAGCTTAACTTCTAGAGAATCTTGGTGCATTTTTTTTTTCTTTTTGTGTGTGTGGTGTCAGTTGTCACTCGCTTTGTTTGAGATAGGCCTCCCATTTATGACTGTAGACAACAGATGAGCTGGCCATGACCTTCCAGAGATTCTCCTCTTCTGTCTCCCATCATGTTATAGGAACACTGGGATTGTAAATGGATGCTGTCTTGTAGGACTTTTCCGGCTTTCTGTGGGTTCTAGGGACTTGAACTCAAGTCTTCATGCAAGTGCATTATCCACTGAGCCATCCAACCTTCCCCTCCCCTCCCCCCACAATGTTTTAAAGGATGGATTTGTGAATTTGTGGTGCCTGGGAAACTCAGATGTCAAGTGATTGTAACAAATAAGGAAATCTAGGTGACCCTAGGATATTAGCCATCTAAGGGTAATGATTCACCTTTGATTTTCCTTAAAATGAACATCATGGGAAACTTGCCTCTGTTAATTTTATCTCTAGTAGCCTAAAGGTTACTCTATTCTTTAGTTGGGCTTCATAACATGGCATCTTAAAATCTAGCCCTTTGCCAGATAATAACAGCAGCAGCAAGAAGGTCAGTGCTTCTTGCATGGCTGTAAAGGAATTTTCTATTTATTTTACCTTAAAGTAGGTCACTAAGACCCCCAGTCCAGAGATCTTGCCCCTTACAGGGCCAGAATACTGGACAAATGGGTCTTACTGTGTTCCTCAAAGTTTACTGCTATTGGTTAATACTGTACCGAAGCTTTAAAAACTCAATTTTCCCGACCCTTTGGGTCTTCATTTTCGAATGCTTCCATATCACCTAAGACCTTGGCTTTCTTCCTGTTATCTGTCTGTTACTAAGGTGTCAAACATGAATCTTGTAGTGGGCAAAGGAAAGATCATACTTCTGCCCTGCATTCTCTCCCTCAAAATAAATCTATTAGTCAATCTATCAATCTCTCTCTGTCTCTCTCTCTCTGTCTCTCTTGTTGTCTCTCTCTCTGTCTCTCTGTCTCTGTCACCCCCCCCCCCCATGGAATCCAGAGCCTTGAGCAGATTGGGCCAGTACTCTGCCACCATGCTACACCCCTAGATCAAAAGTGTCTAACTTAACGTTGTAAATACTATCTATGTATTCTGAAATCTCTCTGTGTCGCTGCCTTCAGGGTCTCATTGTAGTCTAGGTGGGCCTCGATCTTGCAGTTGTCTTGCTTCAGGCTTCAGATGGATAGCCTTATGATTGTGAGCTGCGAAGCCCAGCTTTGAAGTGCGTCACTATCTTCTTCTCTTCATGTGAGACAGTGTCTCACTCTGTAGCCTGGGATGGTCTCCCTCATGGTGATCCTCCTGCCTCGGCCTCCCAAGTGCTGAGATTACAGGTGTGCAGCTCAAAGCAGCATTTTTTTTTTTTTCTTTCTTTCTCCAGACAGGGTTTCTCTGTGTAGCCCTGGCTGTCCTGCAACTCACTTTGTAGACCAGGCTGGCCTGACTCTGCCTCCTGAGTGCTGGGATTAAAGGAGTCCAACCCTACATTTGTTCCACATTCTGCCGTGGAAGCTCCAGTTTTCCAGGGCAGCAATTGAGGGTTCTTAGTCGGCCGCTTGCATCTGTGTCTTTGTGTCGAGCATGGTATTTGCAGTTAAGATAAAGGACATGGCTTGTACCTTCCGTTGTAACACTTGCTCTTAAGTACTTCCTCACAGCATGCATGGCCCTGCCTGAGCAACCTGAGAATTTCTGGCAGTTTCTTTTCAGTGTGCTGGGCTTTCATCACTTGGGTCTGAATGTATGTGTCTGGAATCAGGTGAGGGGATCTATCTACGTCTTCTCTGTTTGGTTCTTGTTCATCACAAGTCGGTGTTCACCTGTTAGAGGGGAAGACATTGGTTGCCTACTGGGAAGGAAGTGTATGATGAACAAAGGCTGCATTCTGAGAGCTCTTGGGTACCATTGCCATACAAGGATTTCTACTGTCTTTCTTTGGTCCTCCAGTTGGGGTCAAGAAACTCACTATTCTGGAAAACGGGTGGGACTTCGCAAAGTGATGTCCATGAAAACAAAGCTCACGAGAGCTTTTGTTTAAATCCAGAACACCGACTTACTCATTTTCTCCCAGAATCATGTCTGCCAGCAGATCAGACCGTGGTGTGACTGGACCAGCACACCATAGTGGGGTGATGGTGGGCTAAGGAAGGACCGAGTCAGGAGGTGCTTCACGGTGGGGATGAGAACAGGGGAGGTGGTTCTGTCATTCCACCGCTTGACATGGCTCTTGAGATGGCTCGCTCTGTTTCCAGACCTGTGCATAGGTGTGGGTCTGTAAGTTCACGGGCACAGGTAGAGTCCGGTATGCTAGATGACCTTCGGAAGGAGGCAGTGTTAGCCTGGTTTGTCACTGTGGCTTCTTTTCTGGCCATCTCTCAGGGATTTGGGATGATTTTGCATGGCTCAGATGGACTTTTGTTGATTTCAAAATTTGACTTCCTGGGAAGTCTTCATTTTACCCCCTTTTCCTGTGTGTGTGTGTTGTACACATATGCACACATGCTATCGTAGTAGTAGGGTACTTATTTTGTGCTCACATATAACCCATTTTCCCATGTCATTGTTTGAACAGCTTTTAGAATAAAATTTAAACTCTGCCCCAAGTCAGCTGTTCACGGATGAGTGGGAGCCCAGGAGAAAAACTTAACGGTAGATATTTGATAGGTTGTTACATCTAAGACCGCTGACGTCAATATAACTATCCTAAAAACAGCTGAGCTCCCGACACAGACCAGCAGGACGTCTGGGCTGAGGTGCCAAAAACCAATGTCACCTAGACCTTACTCTGTAGCATGGTGTAGTTCTGCTGCAAATTAGGAGTGACCTGCTGGCCAATTAAGGGCAGCTTTGTGGACATAATGTGGCCTGAGATGGCCAGAGGGTCAATCACAGGCCTCTCTCTGAGAACCACCACAGCATGTGTGAGGGACCGAGGACAAGCTTACGGCATGGTTCTGCTGGTGTTTTCCTTGTTTAGGTGTGTAGTTTTCACTGAGTTACAAACCGGGACAGTTGATTTGAAGAAGAAAATGTGTGTGCCTATTATGCATCTATTTTTTTTTTTTTTAAATTTTGCCTTTGCCTCCTTTAAATAAAAAAGAAACAAACAAATCCAAAAACTCTTTAGAGAAAGGCTTGCTAAGTAGCCCGGGCTGACCTTAAACTGGTGATCCTCCTGCCTCGGCTTCCTGACTACTGGGATGACCGATGTGTGCCACCATATCTGGCTTTCATGGGCTCTTAAAAATACCACATCACGTAAAAATACCACGTTGTTTTGAGCATGACTGTCAGGAGAATCTTGTGTTTCCAGGGGGCTCCGTATGGAAAGATGCTTCGCAGGTTCAAGAAGCATTTCAAAGGCAGAATTGGGCCCGAGCCATGCTCCTTTTGTGTGTAAAGTCGCTTTGTAGGAAGCTTTAACCCTGATCACCACTGTGGCTTTCTAGATATTATCCTCCTAAAAATCTTTGGGTTTTGTTTGTTTGCCCAAAGCTTTCACTGATCTGAGAGGGGAGCCTAGCCAGCCACTGGCAGCCTGCTGAGGAAGACAGCGTGCTGAGGGAGGCAGGGCCCAGCTGGAACTCTGCACGTTTGGAACCGGGCCTTGTTGTTAATTAGCTGAGTGACCCCTGGGTGGACTCAGTCTCCCAGGGTCTGTTTCTTCGTTGGTAAAACAAAGGCTTGAGAAAGTAAATACAAGCTTGGACCACATGATAAGGAAGGTCACTCTGCTTGCTTGTGTTGTGGCTCTGTGGATGGCAGCACATTGAGCTCCTCATCCTCCTCAGACTCCTAATCCTTCTCGGTGGGCTGCACAGAACTGCTTTACTTGCTCTCTGAGCATTGCCATGTGGCTTGTCAGACTGAGGCCACCCACCTGAGGCTCTCAAGGTAGGCAGGTTTGGGATTCCTTCTCCGGGGGAAGGTGTCCTCCCCTCCCCCCATCCTTGGGGGCTTGGCTCTGCTACATGCCTTCTGCCTTCTTCTTGGTGCATCAGCTTCACGAGGAAATAATAGTCCCATTGTTGCTTGTGGTAGAGATGGTTTCCAGTTTCATCTTAATCCTGGGCCATTGTGTTGTTTTTACAAACTCAGTCCCCCCCTCGTCCCCTCCCCTTGCAAAATGCAATTCATTCTTTTAAAAGACTCAGCAGCCATCCACAAGGCCTGCTCTTCTCATCTCCTTCCCAAAGTCATAACTATATATAGTAAAACTGCACGGGAGTGTGCACTGTTTAATTGGGCCACCTGGCATCAGGGTTAAAATGGGTTCCGTCTGTATTTAGTTTGCAAATGCTTGTGAGCTATGTTCCAATCCAGTAACCTTCCAACATGGTTTTTGTGGTTCATAATTGGTGGCACCTGTAAAACATTTCTCTTAACCATGTCGCTTTTTTCTTCTTAACCATACTCTTTGTGATTTTATGTCTTCTTCTTTTTGTTTTTGTTCACTAGGGCTGGCAAATTGTATTATTACCTTGCCAAATATCTTACCACTAGTGATGGACCCAGGTTTAGCCTTGTAACCCTAATTAGATGTGGAATGCGGAGAATGCACCGCGGGTGGCTGTTGTAACTTTTCTAACATGACAGTGAACTTCTGATGGCTTCATGGAAAGCTAGAAAGCATTCCTTGTGTCTCCCACCACCTGCTCATTCATAGGACGGTCACAGAAATCTCAGGGTACTTCTGGGTTACTCGAAGGCATCTCTTCTGAGCGTGATTACACATTTGAGGTCAGTATGCAAACGACAGTCCCCACTTTTCCTGCATTTGACTCCTTCCCTTCTCTCTCTAGAGACAGAGAGTGTTGACCATGTTGAAGGCTGTGCTGAAGAAGAGCCGAGAGGGAGGGAAGGGGAGCAAGAAGGAAGCAGGTGAGTACACAGATGCGAGTTGAGATTATGGCGGGCGGCACCGGGCGGGCGAGCGGGCCAGATCCCACCACTTCGGGCTAGGTAGGGGCATGGCCTTGGGACCACCCCGGAGACTCAGAACCAGCAGTGTCCTGGAGGCTTTGAGGAGCTCTGTATTTAAGGAGTTTTTATTATTGTTACTATAATGAGAAACGATGTTGGAAATAAGTTTCAGTTTTGAACCAAATCCTTCCCCCAAAGATGTTGAAGGTTCATACTTTTAACAAGTCATTCCGGTCCGGAAGCCTAGTTAAAGAGGCTGAAGGATGGCAGTTGTGTTTAGGAATTTGATTTCTAGAAAGCCCTTTTCCTTGTCCCACATGGAGTTGAATTTTATGTCTGACCAACTGTTGCCTGACTGGTTCTTGTGTTTTTGAGTATCGAATTTTATTCCTAACAGGTGTGGGCCCGCTTAATGCCAGACGGTTCACTCCGTGTGAGGGGAGCGGCCTAACGTGGCTCTGCTTCCCCTCCTCTCCTGTCTGTAGTGTTTTGGGGCATATTTAGCCACTGTGACCCGAATAGCATCGCATTCCGTGTGGTGACCTCCCCTAAGGTTGTTCTGCTCACCGTCAGTCTTAGGTTCCAGTTTCTCTCGATAGAAAGTCTGTGCCAGTATTCCCAGTTAAAATGAGCTGCAGGAACTACTCTGTAAGCCACTCTTAAAACTCAATGTGAGATCTACTCTTGTTGCCAAATGGCCCTTTTTAAAATTACTTAATGTCAAGTAATATTTCAGTTTTCATTTCTGTTAAAATATCATAGATAAATATACTCGGCATCATCAATTATAATTAACTTTTAATTCAAAACACCTTATGTGTTGTTAATTTGTCTCCATGCTTTTCCTAAGGGACTCAGTAACTAAATGTTTTGGCTGTGTGGAACCTAGATAAAGTTTCTACTTATTACTAATTATCCCTTAAACCGAGCCTGCAAAGTGGCCAACTCACCTCGAATGAGAAGCCTTTGTTACAAGGTTGCTGTTCGGATTCTGTTACAGACTTCTCATTAATGCCTGGGTAAACAGATACAAAGACTAGAAGGAAGCAGATTTTAATGATATAAACAGAAGGCTGCAGAGTTAGCTCATAACCTTAGAAAATCAACCCCTAGCTTTGAATAATTAATTAGAATTGTTACTATGGAGAAATTTTAGTTCACATAATTTCTTTCCAGGGGCACATTCATCCTTTGCTGGGTCAGGGCCAAAATGTCTTTCTCATTATTTTTCTGAAAGTAGTTAATTTTTCCCCCCGAAGTTTTGGCTCATCTGATACTAATTCGAGAGACTTTATTTTGTTGCCTTCGAAACCTTTGTAATTTTTAGCATAAACATAGTTCCTAAGCTGTCTTGGGATGGAGCTGCCAAGCAACCAGGTGCCCACCCCCCACTCCCTCTCAGGACCAGGGTCTGCAAGCCAAACTCCCTATGGAGTAACAGGATCTCTCAACAAAGACCCTCCTCTTCCATGGTGCCAGAATCATGGGAAATAAGTTTAAATGATGTTCAGCACCTGTGCCGTTCAGGCAGGCCAGGCAGCAAGCATAGTTTGCCTTTGAAAGGTTTCCAGTTTCAAAACATGGGACTTGGGGTTTAGGTCTCCCTTTGGCCTTTTAAGAGAAACTACTGCTTTTTCTGTGAGTCCTGTCTTTATAGTAGTTCCCACACTCCGGGTTTTTCACTAGGGTACACCGACTTGAAAACGTAATGGGAGCTTTTGGTATAAAGCGTGGTACGGTCCATGTGCTTTGCTGTTACTAGAACGTGGTTTGTGTTGTGCTGGGGACAGAGCAGCTGGGATTTTACATCCAGCTGAAGTTATGGGAAAAGATTTGGGTAAATACTTGGAATTCGACAACTTCTTTGTTGAATTCTATGACAGCGCTCATCATCTCAGTGAGTCCTAGCTGAATTTCTCAGCCTAAGCAGGTCTGAGACAACTGTGAGACTCAGGGAACAACTTCCCCTTCAGCATGACCAGGCTTTGTAGTACTGTTTCCAATTAAAAGCAGTCTTGTTTGTTTGTTTTTTAAGGCAGGGTTTCTCTTTGTAGCCCTGGCTGTCCCAGAACTTGATATGTAGACCAGGCTGGCCTCAAACCCTGCCCTCTGCCTCCTGAGTGCTGGGATTAAAGTCGTGCGTAACCACCACCTGTTGGTTTCATTTTTGGTGGTGTTTTTGAGGCAGGGTTTCCGCCAGCAGCCCAGCCCGGCCTTGAGTGTGTGCTCTTCCTGCCTCTGCCTCCAAGTTGCTGGGATTACAGTTCTGCGCCAACACACCAGGCTAAATATTAGTAGTAGTCCTTCCTCACACCCACAGCTAAGGATTCAGCCTAGGCCTGTCAACCTACTAGTGAGCATTCTGCAGCTGAGCTGTATCCCCAGAAGTATGGAAACGCTTTTCCTCCAGCTTCTGTCCCTAAAAGAATATATCCCATGTAACTACCTTAAGCTGTGTGGGGAAAAAAAAAAATAGCAAGTGTTGACACTCAGATTATAAATATATATATCACAGAACGTGAGATTGAATCCCATTGGTCGAACTCTAAAATTAGGAAAATTCTTTTTAAAAATGATTATGCATTTTCATCTGTGCTTGTAGATGAATAAAATGTTAGTTTCTGGAAGCTGGAGAGGCATGTTGGGGAATGCGATACCAAAAACCTTGAGGTGTTTTTGGGATGAATGTTCTCTTTGTCCTTGTTGAAGTTCCTTCCTTCAGTAAAAAATGAGCCACATCTGTCTCTTGGCCTTGAACTGGGTCTGTGGGAGCAAAAATAAATATTAAGGGCTGGCAGGATGGCTCAGCTGGCCAAGTGCTTGCTACCAAGCCTGAAGGATGACGACTTGGTTTTCATCCCCACCACCACATTCTGCAAAGAGAGAATTAAATAATAAATACATTAAAGGCTGTCCTTTTATCCCCATGTGTGGACCCCATGGACGGACGGACGGACGGATGGACGGACACACACACACACACACACACACACACACACACACACACACACACACACTATACTTGTATCAATGTAGGCATGGAAAAATCAGTATTTAGCCACAGTAGAAGGGCATGTTGGACCAAGACATCTATTTTTTTTCTCCGTTTTCATGGCAGAGTCTTGATTTAAAACAAGGAAACAAAA